ATATGTATTGAAAATAAGTTGAACAGAGCACAACACAAAGGGAAAAAGAGTTCTATCATTTCATTGATATAAAGCATTGAGTTTACAAAAGAGAGATGTCCATCGTTACAAAAAGATATGGAATGGAAGAGTCCAAAGGAGCCCTAGCTAGACGCCTCAGTACCAACAGCATCCTGGTCGCGCCGACCCGCCTCCTCGGCCCCATCAGCCGTCTCACCTTCACGAGGTGGGGAATCAAGATGAATGACTGAATCGTTCGGCTGGGGCTCAGCGTCAGCAGTGGCTATGGAAGGTACCACGGTTGGCGATTGAGGAGCGGTCAGAGGCAGAGCGGCAGGAGGAGCTGTGATGATCCTTGAGGAAGCAATGTCCTGGCACTCATCGAATATGCGCTCCGCTTCGGTGGGCTCTGGGTCGACATAAACCCCCGGAGGTTCGATCCCTAGATCCTTGTTGACCTCATCTGGAGTGGAACTGGTCTGTCCCTCATCCGGAACTCGGTCGGCGAAACCTTCCCGGAATCCTTGAGCATACCTAAGAGCACCGACCCTTGAGAACCGAGCGTGAAGAGCCAGCATCCCACCGCTCACTCTGCTGATCGCATCGATCAGAGTGGTACGCTCGTCCAGAGCTCTTTTCTCAAAAGCCATCCGAGCAGACTGTTCATCAGCCAGAAGGCGCTGGAGTTCTGCCTTTTCTTCTCTAATTGATTCACGCTCAGTCTGCCAGACGCTCTTTTCAAGCTGGAGGGCATCCTTCTCATCCTGAAGGGAGTCATTCTCCTTCTTTAGGACATCCCTCTCTTGTTCAATTTTGTCAAGCCGAGCCAGTACCTCGGTATTCTTCATGGCGAGGAGGTCGTTTTCTTTATTAGCCACCTCTAGGCTATCAGAAAACTTACGAGCCCTGGCGTTCCCCATCTCCACCTGCTTCTGCATGGCCATCATTCCGAACAATGTCTGCATAGGTGCACATTAAAAACAGTTAAGCCAATAGTCAGGTCGGGCGAAGGCAAGACCAAATAATATGAGAAAATTCATGAGTTGGAAAATAAAAGTCACCTCCATAGCAGATTGGGGAAAGCGGCTGAACACATCCTTCTGGGATAGGCCCTTTGCCGCCTCAAGGTCCTTCGGAGTCCACATGCTCCTATAGTACGCCATGGCGGTCTGGCCATCCTTCAGCATGGTCTCGTTCGGTTTCACGAACGTCCCATCCGTTCGGGTGTACCAAGGGGCCCATGGCGGTAAGGTGGGGATAGAAGGGGGGCCTGAAGCAGAAGCGGAGCCACCAGCTGCGGTAGTCCCAGAGGGAGCAGGAGCTCTGATCGCACGGTGCAAGAGAGCACCCGGCCCGGAGACCCGGGTCCTTCTTATGAGAGGCTCCTCCTCAGGATCCACTTCACTGTCAGGATGAGGCCTTTTGCCTCGCTCTTTGTCCCGAACGCCCCCAGCAGCAGCAGGAGCTGAGGTAGTTTGGGGAGACGCGCTCTGGTTGGCAGCAGGGGTGCTGACAACAGAGTTAATAGCCACTGTGCTCGGGACAGTGTCAGAGATGGTGGCTGAGGAAGAGGCTGACGCTGGAGAGGAGGTCGCCCCAGCAGCAGGAGTGGCTGGGGGAGTATTTTTCTTCCTGCCAAAAGAAGGAATCTGAAGCCTGCTCATGTTGTAGCCGAGTGATGAGAGCGCTAAGAGGTTGTCTGAAGTGAGGAGATCTGAACAGGAAGGAATATCGTTCAGAACGTATTTCTTTAAGTAATTACTCCTATCCCTGCAAACACTGTAACTCAAGTCATCACAAGGTATTCCTAAGGAACGGCATAAGAAAGTACAAAAACGGGGAACGCATGTTTCGCAGGGGCAATCATATTTATGAGACTTGAATTTCTTATAAGAGGAGACAGAACAGACACCAAAGGCGCTCGGGATTGGGTAACCCTCTGCAGCCGGTGAAGACCAAGCCCCACTAATGCCCACGATGCTATCCCTCCAACCCTTTTCAGATTTTATTGTGTCCGTACATATGGACATCTTCTCGAACGGGTAGAGGTGGTAGAAGGGTTCGTTAGTACGGATCTTACTGACCTTATAGCACAGAAGAAGGTCTATGAGGTCAAGGTCCAGATTTCTGTCACGCATCAACAAGAGCATAACGGATATGATTCTAAAGAAGTTGGGGTTGACCTACAGAGGGGATATCCCCAATCTATTGAAGACATAACTAAAGAAAGGGTGCAGAGGGAACCTAACAACATTCAATTGAAGGTTCGTGAATAAGACTTCGCCGGGCAGGAGGCCGGCACCGGTCATAATGTTAACGTCCTGAGGGCAAACCCTAACTTCGATGTTGTCAGGAAGTCTAAGTCTCATACGAAGAACATCCAGATCTACAACCATGGTGGAAGTGCTTGAAGGATCTAAAAGGGGGTAAAAGGAAGCCTGCCGAAAGTAAAAAGGAACAAAACTAACCTCAGAGGACTGCAAGATCGCTGGAAGAATGACTCTTGAAGGATTTCGATTTGACTGATGATGGAGACGGTAAAAGGACGTGAAGTGGTATTCTAGAGCCTTATAAAGGCGAGGGGGGCCCGAGGGCCGAAGCGTCGGGAATGCGAGAAATTTCTCGAGCCCCGGAACATTGATTCTGGATCTGACCGTCCGTTCCCCCACGTGATTCTCTCGAGCCGTCAACGTCATGATGAGACGCCATCAATAATTACCCCTTATTAAATAAGGGGCAATTATGGGGGCAGTTGAGGAGGCCCAGAACGACATGGGCCGGATCTGACTTGTAAGCACTACATCCGGTCCGTACAGCTGGGTTAGCCCATATAAAGACACTGCCATATGGGCCGAACGAGAGTAAGCCCATCAAAGGTGACCAGGACTTATGGAGGAACAGGTCCAGATCCAGCAGTCAGTCAATATTTGTAAATATCTTGTAAATATCTATAAATAACGAGAGGAATGGAGAAGAGAGGGGGATCTTTTTGGTTGAAGTGTAAGAATTCTAGAGAGAGAAAGGGAGAACGAATTTCTTGCATCTTCAATATATATATTAATTATACATATTTGAAAATATACTGTTAAAAAACTTCTCAATTAAAGAATATTACAAATAAATCACCATCTATTAGTGACGAACTACTTGTTATTTTTTTTTCTCTTTCCAAATGTAAATTATTTATTCTTTTTTGCTCCGGAATGATGTAAATTTTATTTTAATAATGTGCCCCTCATTTATGCTAGCTTCAAGTGCAATACGTCTACAATCAATATCTAAAAAACCAGAGCTTGGACTAACTGGTGCTTCCTTCCATAAATCTTTCAGCTCTTTGTGATGGTTGAATAAACTGCCCTAACTATTAAGACTCTTTTAACACTTTATTTCCAATCAACTGCAATATGTCCTAATCTTTCTGAAGCTTAAAGGCATGTTGCTTGATCAAGTGTTGGAGCAGTGTGGTTTGGAAGTTGAAACATACATGAATCTTTTAAGCATATCAATCAGTACATTAGTTTATGTTTTTTTGCCATTTTGTGGGATGTATCATCAAAGCTGCTTTACGTTTTTTTGCCATTTTCAGCTTTGGCTTTAATGGCAGAAACTATGGTACGTAGCTAAGTCCGTCCTCAAATGGGGAGTCTTGAATCAATCTCATGGTTTCATGTTGAGCTGAGTGAAGATGGAGGGATGAAAAGAGATTCTCAAGTAAAGGGGCACTTGAGAACAATGAGGAGAAAACTCCTAGTCAGCATAATCTTGAATCAAAAACAATATGAGATTTTCAATGACCTAACTGGTCCAATTAACATGATAAAGACAAAGAAGACCAGGGTCTGCTAAGTTGTTGAAATAAAGCTCTTTGCTATTAATTGTACCTCAAATTCAGATAGACTTCTAAAACTACTTCTGCTCAAATATTACTTCTGCTTTCAACCGATTAGATTCCTAAAAAAATCAAGCCTTGATTCAGTCCCACTCAATCGGATCCAAATTAGAGAAAAAAATTTGTTTGTGAACCAATTCAATAATTGGGAAAATTATTAATTATTAATTATTTTCTAATTTTATTTTATCAAATCTTCAATCAGAAAACGGGATTGATGGTTAATTTTTCCGTCAAAAACACACCAATCATAATATTTATTAATATTTGTATAACATATTATATACTAGATTAGATTGAATCAGATTATTATCAGAACTAAATTCATATTGTTAATGACTTATCAAATTAAAATTTTTAATTCATAAGAAGTTTCAAATAGATTCGGATCAAAGTTAGATCAAAATTAATTTAATTGACATGCCTCAAACAATCAATTAATTAGGTGTTCAGTAGCATTAAGGATAAATTAGTCAGTATCAGCTTGTTTGCTTGTTGAAAATAAAGATTATAGGTGGACTAACTCACACGGGACTACTCATATATTACTTCTGCTTTCTGGGAAGCTCTGGAATCCATATGTCACTTAAAGTGATGAAAAGATATATAGTCTATAGATTAACATATTCATAAAAAGAGTATATGCATTCCAATACTCGTTGTAGCAAGAGATACATGACTACTTAAATTTGGTGTAGGCACAATTTTTTGAAAAAGAATTTTACTCCTTAACAAATCTAAGATAAATTAATTAAAGAAAATCCAAAGATTATCAAACATGTCACAGTACTTGTATGCATGAATTTATTCATTTTGTAGGTTAAAAAAAAAAAGATAAATACGGAAAATAAGAAATTCTATGATAGAAAAGGGATGAATTTTACTTTCTCACCAAATCTGCTGCTACACCATTAGAGTTCACCAAAGATCCATCCCAAACAGTATAGCGGGGGCTGAGCAGAATTTTCGTTTCAATTTTACTGTATAAAATGAAAGAACAGGTAAACTAATCTTAGTGAATGTATACTGATCTTAGAGTATAAAACATAAATTCTAAAAACTTGAATGTATACATCTCAATAAAAAAAACATATAAAATACTATAGTGAAATTCATAAAAAATTTAGTACAAATGGCAGTGAGAGTGGCATCATATGATAGACTTGCATGGTTTCAGAAAGGTCATTCACTTGAAACAAATTCATAAACCAGCTAGTAGAGCAGGTTCAGATTACAGAACTTCTCTTTCAACTACAAGATCACATGCACCCTTCGCCTCATAAATTGACAGGCCTCTACGCTTTCTATGACCTTCGCTACAATTTTCTCAACATCAGTGGCTACTGGCTATAAAACAATCGTTAAGTAGAACTAAGAAAGACGTGCACTGCACACACATACACACGCATATAAGTTGGTATTTTTTAGAAAAATATAACATTGACAAAATTAAGAGCCAATATCTGAATCACAGTTTACCAAAAAAGAAATGGAGGAAACAAAAAAAGAACAATTCTTGAAGCTATTGTGAGAAGGAAAAAGAATGCTCAGGTCTGGTCACAACTATGTGAAAGTCAAGAGCACAACCCTCCACCCTCCCCAAAAAGAAGGAAAAGAATAGAAAGAAGTGAGTATGTGAAAAATATTTTTATCAGGTATACAATTCAGAATCAAGAGGATGGTTCTTGATTTGGTCAAGCTTTAAATATTCCTCATCGTTATCACCATCAATACTGTAATCCAAGCCAGACAAGACATCCTTTAGCAATACAGATGCAATCAGAGACTTCACAGTTGTACTTAATACAGGCCACGAAATGCATAGAGTTCCCTTGATTTTCTTCATCTGACATCGACCAAGTAGAGCAGCAGAGAAGCCATCTATCACACTTCCTGATGGCAAATAGTCTGAATTTTTTAGCAGTGATGAATCTCCACAACCATCATCAAGCCCCTTTCTTTCCAATGATGTCTCCAGCTTGAAGGCGGATGCTTCATCTGGTGAGAGCTTACCCCGAAAGTTTCGGCTCTGAACTGAATCCAAGATCAAAACCCTCTCTGGAACAATCTGCTCACTGATCAGCAACTTTGCGACAGCATGAGATCTCTCTGCTGCTATTGAGCACTGGACAGAAACAATGAGAACCAAATTATCAGGATCATTGAGGGCGTATATATTGCAGGATTTGTCTCTGAGAGAGGGTTCAATACAGTTGCCGGAGAAGGGAATCTCAGGAAGAACGAGGGTTCCTACTAAGGTTTTAGAAGACAAATGGTGGAAGAAATAAAGAGATGGAGAAGACATGGCAACGATGAGTAGAGTGGGGCGGAGAGGTTTTTTCACATTAGGGGTAGAGAAAACCAGGAAAGGACATGGAAGTGGTGATGATGGAAGAGTGAAGTTGTTGAGATCTTCCAAAAAGAATCTTGAAGGTGGGGGTAGTTCCGTTAGCAAATCTTCCATAGCTTCCTTTTATCCGACTTCCAAAATCTGCAAGAAGATACGCTATCAGTATTCTATATCTCAAGAAGATAGGTTACTTAGCAATTTGATAATCTGACTGACTCAGTAACCCGCCAAGTTAACTCAGAAAAGAACTAAATTAAGAGCTATGGGGAAGATTTCAGATGATAACCATTTGTCGTCTTTTAGGAACGGAATCATGGAAATCACTAGGCTCATCCCAAATTCATTTTCTACCATAAGAAAGTCACTACGCAGTCAAGTATAATGGTTAGTTTGTTGGACACCAATTGATACTTTTAAGAACCATACCATGAGTTCATATTTTACATTATCTACTCTACAAACACATGGATATGAGTATGAACTTTGATGGTAGTAGGTGGCACTTTTAGAAATAAAAACGCCCTCAATACATCTTACTCAACTCTGTCAAAGGGAGCCATAGACCGGTTAAGAGCTAGGAAAATAAACACACAGGACAACAAATACAAGATCTTCATAATTTTGAAGTTATGTGAAGTAAGAGCATTTTCAATCTAAACCTTGACGTGATATGTTGTTCAAAGAGGTTACCACACAATTACAACCGCATCACTGTCGATAAGGTGTTTGAGCACCAGAAAAGAGAACAGTAGGGATTTTAGTACACTCAACAAACATAGAGGGAATTTACAATGATAATCTTCAATGCGGAATTTCTCATTCCATACTCTAAAAGCATACAAACTCATTACTCTTGGTTAGCAATAGCACTAAGTAATTTACTCAACATAATTCAATCTTGCACCTCTAAAAGATCAACAAAAACTGTTCATGTGCATGGTACACAAGTTTACACTTCATAGGTCAACTACGAAACAGAGCTCTCAATGAAACCTAAACTTATATGGTATAAAAGTTTTAAGAAGATATCATCAACAATTGTAAACCTTAAAAAATGAAGAAACGTTTTTTTAAAAAATATTAATGAATGCAAAGTAAAATACATAGAGGCAAATCTACTCCCCACCCACTTTTAAAACAAATTTTGGTATAGAAAGGAAAATTAACAAATCCGTATGTTGATACATAAAAATATAACACAAAAGGCACTATATTCAAGCATTTACATTTATATATATATATATATATGCATGTACTTGAAATCAGTTTAATTATGGTTATATGAGAGTAAATTGTTTATTGATGATTATTGCCATGACTCTCAAAATCAGATATAACTATGGTAGAAAAAACATAAAAACTAGGAACCACTATTCCATATACACGTTTTTATGGACAAATCTTCCATTGACACATGCAAGAGATAAGTCGTTGAATACTCAAACTCGTCATAATTTTATATTACTCAGCAATTAGGAATCAGGAAGGTCTATAAATTAATTGAGAAAAAATCATTATTTGAATTTTTAAAGAATTATTGTTTCTTCTTTTTGATAAATTAAAGATATCATGTTACTAAACCTTTTACATCAATTTAAAATTTTTGGAAAATGGAAATAATATACAAGTAATTACAATCGATTATCTACGGCTCATGATAAATAAAAACTACATTTTTATATAGTGCCGTCCTTCAAATTTTTTTAATTTTAGCCAAACCTTAGATTGTTTCTCCAATATATTGCAAATATATAACATAAACATATAGATATTGCATTAATTTGTGCTCATTAGACTATTAAAGGAATTGGGTCTGAAAAAAAAAAGAATAAACTATCAGAAATACAACAATCGATACATTTCTTGAAAGGAAAGGAAAATCTGATACCGAGTCTAACAAATAGGAGTAGAACAATAAAGCTTACCGGAAACGGTGGCTGAGACGAAGGAGACACCGATTGGCGACGGCAGAGATGAGTGAAGCACGAGCTAGCTCCGATCCTCTTTCTCTCTTCCCAATTTTCAGAAACGGGCTTTGAAAGGAACAAAATCAATTTCAGTTGCAGAAATGTTGTAGCTTTTAATATTTGCCAGAAGGCCTTTCCATGTCGTTGAGGATTTGGTAAAGTTGGAGAAAAAATAAAATAAAAGAATTACATTAATTATGATAAAATAAAATAATAATAAAAAGTACCAAGTTTTAACTTATCGTATTTAGTTGATAAATGAGGAAAAAGAAAGAAAATTTTTTATTAATCTTTATTTGTCGGAACTTTTGGTAAAATTTTTATAATAATTAGAATATTACAATAAAAATTAATAAATTTTTACATAATAAATTGACGTCATTTTGTAACTCATAGTAATTGAAGAGTAATTTTGAAATTTCAACGTGTGATATTTTACAATAAAATTGATTTTAATATTAAGGGGCAATTTTCATATTTTAGAATCATTTAAGGCCTTGTTGGGATGAAAATTATGACCAAGGGTGTAATTATGAAACTTCGTACACTTATGTGTGAGGCTATTTTTTCAATTCGAGAGTCTATATTCAACCGATCAATCAAGTGTTAATAGTCTAAGACTTTCTAATAATTTCTCAATATCATTGTCCAAAAAATAGTCAACTTGTATATCTTGGTCCGTATAGCAAACCTTAAGAAGTGTCATTCTACTTTACCTTTGAATTAATAAGAATAGGCTAAAATCTGCTCACTAATGAACACAATGAGTGTGTAGTGTTTACATAAACCAGTCACACCAAGGTTCCAGGGTCAAAACGGTCATTATCCACCGGGGTGATTACCCGGGAATCAAGATTCCTTGGTAATGAAAAAAATAATGAAGTGCTTCAATAAAGCGTTACTGAAGACAGCAGAGAATAGTAAAAATCAGTGCCATTGAACCTTGTCTCCGTATCTAAAGACACGCAGTAAGCTTGATCCCTAAAGCATAAGCATTTTGTAAGCATTACAAAGATGAAACAATTGTGAACTTTCCTCTCAAAATTCCTAAAGCCAGCAGAAACAACATAATGTGCTAAATTACACGGATCGGACACACATCAAACTTCTGTCTGCTTACTACCTTTTCAACCAGCTTCCCACCTGATCCAGACTCATATGCATTCCCTTGGATGAAGAGTGGAATCTTTCATCATATATTTTGCTTCAACATCGGTGCGCATGTAAGAACATGTAAACCTAAATGCTCACTCTGCAAGAAAAATGACTATCTCTTTCTCAGTTCAAGTTATAATACAGGGCTAACAATGACACATCTAGAGGATATTTTGCTATTCCTTGAAATAGACAACTCCCTATATATTTTCATAGCATTTGCATGTCTTTTGTGCATTCTCAACACCAATTTAAGATTGATGCTCAATTTAGAATCCTAGAAGTGACCTTATCTTTGCTTCCAAGTTTCATACTGGCAATTATGATATGCTATCATTTCTTCCGAGGGACGTCCAAATGTCTATTTACAATTTCCAGAGCATCTTTACACAAGCAAAGCACCGACTGCACATCTTGTATTACAATCAATCTTCATGTTCTCCTTCAGAATCTGTACAAGGTAAAAATGAATAAATAAATAAATAAAAACAATAAAAGATGAGAAACAAATAAAGAAATTACATGATGGACATTGTGATCTGATTTACAGTGGACCTAACCATATTCAATAGGCAAATTACCCAAAACGCTCAATAAGGTCAGGCAGTTGACCTGACCCTTCATATGCCTATCCTTTGGGGTTCGAGTTAAGAGTTGCAGTTTGGAGATTCCGGACCAAGCAAGTGCTGATATCCAGCTGAAGCATTTATCATTAGGCATGAAAAGCCAATAAGACTAATTTGGGATCTTTAATCTCAACACTAGTGTGAATTTCACGAAGCTAGAATAGCTTAAGAGAAAAGAGAGCTTGAAGCTTTTTTTTTTTTTGATAATCGTGGGTGTCTGGGCTAGCTTGCGCGCACCTTGACTAATTCCACGAGGCCTTGAAGTTCACGACCGGGTAAGCCTCCAGTGGCCTGCGGAGACTCGAACTAGTGACCATTAGGGACCCTGCAGGGTTCAAGAGAGCTTGAAGCTTTAATAGAGAAGAAAATATTTAGGTTCAAAACATTCAGTTTGAGGTGGGTCTTGACACAGGACCTATCTCCCTCTCTGCAGATATTGTCCATTTTGCTCCTTCTTGGTGCTCACGGTTTTCAAAAAACGTCTACACAGGAAAGAGGCATCCCACCTTATATACAACTTCTCCCCAAGGCGACATGGGACTTCACACCTCACCTTTTATGCAACATGGTGTTGGAAAATCAAAAATAGTTCTATGTTTCTCTGATACCAAAACTGAAGTATGATCTCTTTGATCGTTCAACAGCGAATGCTCAAGTTTCGAGAGTATGCAAAACTCAGAAAAAAGAGAGCTTGAAGGTTTATGAGAGAAAAACAAAGAATAAGACAATGATACCAACAAACAGTCACATTATACATAAATCTGCTCAAAAGATTTCTTTATTTGATATCCCAAAACCAAGCTGATACATTCTTAACATAGAGGATCATAGCAATAGTTTCATTGAGGAAAGTGTAGAACATGCTCAGTGAGAAGGTCTTGTAATTTTTGTAGCAACAGGCAACTATACACCTGAAACAAACATCTTAATTGCTATCAAACCCTATATGTACTCCATTTCAAAAGATGTAACGAGCATAATATTTTTTCCTCCAAATTTAAGGACTCAAAAATGTGCCAAACAAAAGAATCGCCGCCTCTACGTAGATGGAGAAATGACTCAGATCATCTCCTGCCAAATAAGCACCATCTTCATTGTAAAGGTTGATATAGTTGACCAAGAGGAGGATGAATCACACCCACAGTTTAACGTTCAATGGAACAGTGTCATGAGCTTGAGTCACCCGCATGGCAGCTAATGCCCCTCCTTCCTATTAAGGTTAGGGCGTGGAAGTCTCTCCTCTGAGAGACTGAGACTAGAGTCAGGAGCTAGCTTACGTTTTGATCTTGTCCTACCGAGCCCTCTACTTATGCCACCATGTGACAACAGATCCTCGTTCCTGTTAGGGCCATACACAATAGAACTAATTTCACATGATGACCACATAGGCTGTGGCAATGCGCACCATGCCACCGCCAGTGATGACCCATAGCTTTGTTTGTGGTAGTTTTTTTGTGATGATAAAGAGGGTATACCACGACATACACCTAGTGTGAGATATTACAGAGAACTGGCATGAGCCTCAACATAGTTCCTGTTTAGGTGCTACGTTGATGGATCACAAACTATCGCACAAAACTGTCATCCTGCCTCGACTTCCCCGTCAATCTACTTGACTGGCGTAAAGAGGTCTAATCAGTTGCACTTCCCATAGAAAACATGTTTGATGGCCCCTAACAACCCCAAACTCCGACCACAACCATCATGCTCTAGCACTTGCTTCCCTTTTTTCGTCCTCCAACACGTACTCAAAGGCCCATGAGCTCTAGACACAGTTGCCCTAAACTGGGTCGCTTGACTGGCTCTTGTCGAGCCTTGTAAGGGAAGCCCCCCTTTGTCATATTCATGACGGTAAGTGCAAGCATCATGCTCATGACAGTGACAATGAAGGTCGTATCTCACAACGGTATTCGCCGTTGTCCTTTAGCCATGGCTTAAACTAATATTTGTTGTCCAAGTCTGGATCAAAATCCTCTCCAGCACTACAGTCCTCCTGTCCGAGCCAATGAACATTGCTTTACTCTTGTTGAGCCATGTCGCTGCCCAAACAAGTCAAAAAAAATTCACCGCAGTAAGTTACTTATTATATAAATATATAAATAAACATATCTTGGTACAAACTGTATATCACAACATTTTTTTAACCTACATCCCAACTTTCTCCTTTCCAACGTCCCACTTATTATACAAATACATAAATAAACATATCTTAGTACAAACTGTATATCACAACATTCTCCTAACCTACATCCCAACTTTCTCATTACCAACATCCCACTTGTTATACAAATACATAAATAAACATATCTTGGTACAAAGTGTATATCACAACTTTCTCCTTACCAACATCCCACTATTCATCTTTTTATCTTGTTTGGGATACATGTTAGGAAAATGTTGGGACGTTGGCCTTGCATCAAAACATTTTCCTAATGCACATCCAAACTTTCTTCTTACCAGCATCCCACTGTTCATCTCTTTATCTTATTTAGGATACATGTTAGGAAAATGTTAGGACGTTGGTCTTGCATCACAACATTTTCTTAACGTACATCCCAACTTTCTCCTTACCAGCATCTCACTATTCATCTCTTTCTCTTTTTTGGGATACATGTTAGGAAAATGTTTAGACGTTAGCCTTGCATCACAACATTTTCCTAACTTACACCCTAACTTTCTCCATGCCAGCATTCCAACATTTCCCTAACATACATTCCAAAATATCATGTATGTATGTGAGTATGTATATACAAATGTTTTGCCTTTTTAATTTTTAACCTTTACCATTTTAACTCACCGGATGGCACAGGTTCTCCTGTAGCGCAAAAGAGGATTTTGTTCCTCCAAGTCTTCCCTAGTTATTCGGTAATATAATGTTCCTGTAAATCTCTTCTGATATCTTCATGTGTTTCTATGCTCGAGATCATTTTGGGGTCTAGGAATTTTGTGTTTTCTTATTCAAATAATTCTCAAATCACAAAAGAATCCACTCTATAAATCTGTTCTCAGTTTTCTCACTTTAAAGCACTCTTTTGAACCGGTTACAAGTAGTTGTGCGTCTTCAGTATTCGAATGTCTATGTCTCAGTGTTACCATAGAATTTTGTTTTCGAAAGGGTTAAATGGGGCTTTTGTACCACTCTCGTCTAATAACTTTATTGAAACGATGGTGTATGGCAGAACTGTGTTTTCTATGGAAGGCGTGAAGGCAACTTTGAATTCTAAGGAGTTGCAAAAGAGGGCGTTTGAGGGCAACACAGAAGGTTCAGCATAGGGGTTGTTTGTTATAAGGAGAACAAATCAAAAGGCTGGAAGCAAAGGTCATTCTAAGTTTAAGAACAAAACAAATGTGTTGAAATGCCACACCTTTCA